ATGGTGTTTGTAAGTAGGATCTCAAGTCCGCATCTTGTACAGCAATTAACCACTAAGAAGAATATATGCAGTGTATTATTTGTTGAAACTGTACTTCTGATTTGATTTGAAACTGTCTCATTGCTATCTGTTTATCAATAAAATTTTGAAAAAAAATATTTTTCTAGTGTTTCAAAGCCACAATAAGCCATTTAGCCTGGCATGGTATTGCCGACCTATAATCCCAGTATTTGGGAGATTGAAGCAGGAGGATTGTTTAGAGTTCAAGGCCATCCTGAATTACACAGCCAGATCTTGTCTAAAAGCAAAACAAAAAAGTCTTTAAGCCCTAACCAAAGTCTATGGTTAACTTTTCAACAAGCCCAGGAGGGTCTACCCATGTGATATTTCTGCCCAAATGCATAACTTTCTCTACACTGATCAAGAATCAGAGGGTTTTACTCTGTAGTCACTATCTGTAACCGGTCCTTCTATGTATTTAATAGGACCAAAATAATGTAATTGGCTTCCAGAAAGCTAGCAATAAAGTGTTTCTTTTTGTTCTGTGTTTGTCTCGCGGTGCTGGTGGCTGAACCCAGGCCCTCAGCTTAGGCCAAACGGGTTAGTGCTCTCCACTAAGCTACAGCACCCTCTCTGGAGTGTGTCTTCTGTCCTTTTCTGCTCTTGGACACAGCTTGGTGTCAGTTTAGTCTGCGTGAGGGCCCGAGGACTCCTCGGGGCCGCAGCGGGGCTTTGGCACAGCGCGGAGAGGCCAGTCCCAGGCCCTAGACTGCAGCTACCTCTGAGCAGCACGGGGCGCCGGGCTGCATCCTCGGGGCGCGCAGGCGCAGTGTCGGGGGCGCGCAGGCTGGCGCTCATCGGGTCTGGGCCAGCGCGGCCAGCTGAGCCCCGCGCAGCAAGGCCTGTCCGCAGGAGGCGGCCCACTTCTCTGCGAAGTCCGACTCCGCCCAGGCTTCCGGCCCGGCTCCCGGGACCACACTCCCCGCAGCGCTCCCATGGGCAGGACGCACCCGGCTAGCTCTTCCAGAAGCTTTGGATGGACTTGATGGAGCACAGGCCCCCTGAGGTCTGGACCTTGGCGGAGAGGAAAAGGCTTCCCTCCGGAAGGTGGAGTCTCCTCTGGGAAGGTGCACCCGCTGCCCCATCGGGAAGGCAGTGTCCCCTGGGAAGGCGGGATCTCGTGGGGAAGGCAGGGTCCCTTGAGAAAGGCGGGGTCTTCTGGGGAAGGCGGTGTACCCCCTCAGGTGGCGGGCAAGGTGGGCCCCTACCCGGGGAACAGGAGGAATTCATGCAGCCCACTCAAGCAGAAGGAAAAGAAACCTGTACTGCACAGCCAGCTCCTGTCTAACAAAATAAATTAAATTAAAATAAATAGGAATTCAAGGCCCCTGAATCTGAGAGAAAAGGGAAGGTGCAGAGCTCCCACCCCCTCCCGTGACACACTCTGTCCATTCAGGCTTTCCCTCAGGCAGAAAGGGAAGTTTTGCTTGTTCAAATAATCCTCTAGGAAAAAAGTTTAAGTTTAATTTCTTTAACTTGCTTTGTAGATGACAATGCAAGACAAACTTTTTAAATATTACACAAATTTATCAAAATAATATTCATATTTAATACATGTAACTACAGTCTAGCAAAGTATTATTTCTTGAGTAATATTGTAAATTGAGATATATACTTGGGTACAATGTTATGTCTGTTTTTTCTTTTGAGACAGGGTCTCCCCGTGCAATGCCTGCTGGTTTTGAACTCACTGTGCAGCCCAGGCCTTGAACTAAGAGTGATCCTCCTTCCCCAGCCTGCCAAGTCCTGTGATTCTAGGTGGGTGCCTCGATGCCCGGCTTTCAATGTATGCAATTTCTTCTTGTCTGTTTCGCTTTGCTTTGTTTTGTTTTGTTTTG